TCAGTCTAGTGTAATTCATGGTTTTGTGACAGAGCCCTGACACTCCCGTCATGTCATTGTTTTCATGTGAGCGCGTGGCTTCGAGAGTGCTCGAGCCGTGCGCTCTCGTCTGCGTGTCCTGTTTCCTTGTTTCAAGTTGGAGCATGGTGTTCGGATCCTGGCACTCACGTCTTGTTGAGTTTTGGTTTCGTGTCGGGGTTTGGACACTCGCGCTCCATGTTCTGTCTTGTTGTGTCTCAAGTTCGCTCGGGCCGTGTGCTCTTCTGTTGCGTCTTGTGTAGCACGCGGTTCGTGTTTGTCCGCGTGCTCTCGTTGTCTTGTGTTGTTGCGCTGCTTGCTTTCATGTCATGTTATGTTTTGTGCTGTGTAGCATGCAGCTTGTGTCTTGTGTGAACACGCGGCTTATGAGTATTCTCATTAGCTGCGTGTTCGTGTCTTGTTTTGTTCAAGCACATGGCTTGTGATTGTTTTGCTGGCCATGTGCTTGTGTTTTTGTTTTGTGTGAGCACATGGCTTTTGTCTTTGTTTCCTGTGTGCCATGTGCTCTCATGTCAATTGTCTTGACCCCACCCATCTTGTTACCTAATTATTGGTTCATTTGCCCCACCTGTGTTTCCCTCATTACCCTCCTCATTTGCTTCCTATTTATTCTCCTTGTGTTTGCAGTCCTGTGCCAGTTCATCGTCAAATGTTGCGTGTGAATCCTTGTGTCCTGCCCTGCCAGTCTGTTTTCCCCTACGGGGTAGTTTTGGTTTGTTTTGTTTTATTTTTGCCAATAAAAGCCCATTCTCCTGCATCACTGAGTCCTCGCCCCATCCCCAGCCCTGACAAATTTCTTAATTTTAAAATTTTCTTAAATTTAAGGATGCACTGATCTTGATTTTTCATGTCCGATTCTGGTGACCTACAAGCAAATGGGCCTATTCTGGTACTGATTTCTTAATTATTAATGAATTAAAGCAATAGACAAGAAAGAATGAATATTTTTATTTTCTCTATTACAGGCCAAACTATTGTAGCCATTCTACAGTCAACCACTGCATTTTAATCACAATTCAAACAAAGATGTTACATGTAGCATGAACAATTTCTGATATAATTAGTTTGTGTCCATAAAACAAACCTTCATGAAACCAAAACAGCTGTGCTTATAAACACTACTTTAATATGTATTATACATCGTGATATGACTATCACATTAAGCCATGACACAATATCGATTTTTATTTCTATATATTGTGCAACCCTAATTAAAATAGTATTCATTCATTCATGAGAGTGGAGTAACATATCTAAAACAAATCTGGGTTCCTCTTATGGTTCTACATAACACCATTTGACAAAGGTGCTGTATAGCACCTTTAAGGATAGGTGCTATATAGTACTTTAAGTGGTTCCCCTATGATGACAAGCCAATGAACCACTTTTAGTGCTATTTTGCACATTTTTTGTCACTCTTATAAAAAATGGTTTGTTTAGGAACTGTTTACCGAAAGGTTCTTTAGGGAACCCAAAATGGTTCTTTATGGAAAAAAAGATTTTTGGAACTTTTGTTTTTAAGACTGAAATTGTTTTTTCTTTATAGTAGAAAAAGGTTCTCTAGTTTATTGAAATGTTCTTCACACTAAAACAAAAATGGTTCTTTTAATAACTGTTGACTGAAGGGTTCTTTGGGGAACCCAAAATCAAACCTCTTTTTTTAAGCATTTCTTTTAAGAATGTAGTCAACTTGTACGTTTCTGCCGATATACATCATTGTATCTATCTGTCCGTAGAGCGCTTTTTTGGCCAGATATACGTTTCCGACGTGAACACAAGTGCAGCCAATCTGAGCTGGACTGAGGGGCCCGGTGCTGAGAACATCAGTCACTACAGAGTGGAGATCACTGAGGACAATAACCAGACATTTAATCAGACATTTAACCAGACATTTTTCCAGACTGAGCTGTTTGAACACATACAAAATCTGACAGCAGGAACTCTGTACAGAGTTCAGATGTTTCCTGTGAAATGTGGCAGGGATCTCAATCCGCAGAATATCTCCTTCTACACCCGTAAGTAGACTCGGACTTGACTTCATTGTGCGCAATTTCATTGTGCGGTTTCAGCATGACTAATGAGCAAAATTACCCATGCCGTCCCTTTTTTAGAGCCCTCTGATGTGCAAAATCTGACAATAGTCGGTATGACAAACGTTAGCGCCAACCTCAAGTGGAGGAATCCAGAAGGAAACCGTGACTTCTACTCAGTACATGTCGAATGCAAGTCAAATAAATCTATTCATGACAAAGTCGAAAAGTGTCCAAGTGAAGAGTGCACTATCAAGAATCTTGCTCCAGGGTATGAGTATGAGTTCACAGTTAAAGCTGTTGTGAATGAGACGTTTGGAGGTGTGCCAAGCAACGCTTCTGATTACACCAGTAAGTGCAGAAAGTTTCATGCTTGACTGTATTCATCCATCCAAACTGTATGTTTCCGTCCAAAGCTGCAAATTTAACTTGTGCGCAAAATTGGAATAGCACATCAAACATTTCCAAGTAAAGCATCGTTTCTGAGTTTTAATCATATATGAATTTTAAAATAGTTTTATTGATAAATGCGCTTTTATTTTTTATTTATATTTTTCATGTTAATTCTAGTTTAATTTTTAGTAAAGTTGTTTTGCTTTGCCATTTTCTTTCTTTTTTTTAATTCTTTTTTTTTTTTTTGGTGCTTTATTCGCACCATTTTTATCACATAAACATAGACAAATATCATATAAAACATTTGCAAATAAAGCACCTTATTTACCATTTTACTTGGAAATTTAACTTATTCATTAAATTGAAATATTGCATTAAAAAATTGCGAATTTTGAATGACATTTTTAGTAACTTTTCTATGTGTTATTGTCATTCTATTAGGGTTTTTTATTGTTTTAATTTATTTTATTTCAGTTTTCGGTAGTTTATTTTGTTTTTATTTATTTCCAGTTAATAATTTTAGCGCTTCATCTTACACTTTTCATTTTATTGCCAAGGCAAAATTTCTCATTTTCATTTAAAGTTTTTCAACTAATATTTATATTTTATTTTGTTTCAGTTTGGTTTGGTGTGTTATTGTCATTCTATTAGGGTTTTTTATTGTTTTAATTTATTTTATTTCAGTTTTCGGTAGTTTATTTTGTTTTTATTTATTTCCAGTTAATAATTTTAGCGCTTCATCTTACACTTTTCATTTTATTGCCAATGCAAAATTTCTCATTTTCATTTAAAGTTTTTCAACTAATATTTATATTTTATGTTGTTTCAGTTTGGTTTGGTTAGTTTTAGTTTTTATTTATTTCCAGTTAATAGCTTTAGTGCTTTAACATTTTTTAAACTTTGAAATCATTTTACTTTTTTTTTTTTTAGTTAATTTGCCAAGGCAAAATTTGAATGCTAATTTAGATGGTTTTTCATCTAATATGCCTTTTATTTTAGCTTTTATTTTTAATGAACATAAATGTTTTCATTTCCGTTTTAGCTTTCGTTAACAATAATAACCAAGTTCAAGAGAATAAAAGTCACTTCCTGGGAAATTGGGGCAAAACATGTATGTGGAATAAAAATGCAAGTTGCTGCATTAGGGGAAGCCACTTTTTGACTTGAATAAAGTGATCAACATCTGGCATGCTGTGTGATGCGACTGGTCTGCAGATTAGTCCAGTTATCCAGTCACATTCTCCGTTGCGCATCGAGCGATTTATTCAGTAAATGTGTTTTCATTGTAACTTGGAATTTATGCACAACTTGGCGATTCCATTCAGCGTGTGATAACTTCAGATTCAGGTGGATGGAAACATCCACTATTGTCAAAGTAGCAAGCATTCCTGTGGCCACAGCTTTTAAAAGAAGCTCATTTTGATAGACAAACTGCTTTTGTTGGTATTTATTTTTCAGAACCTTCGACTGTCACAAACCTAAAACAATCATATAAAAATAGCACATTCATAAAAGCCTCTTGGGAACCGCCCGAGGGAGGATATTCAGGATACCGCTATTGTCTTAAAAAAGTCGATTACAGCCACAAGTGTACTTACTGCAACATCATAACAAGCAGCAGCAGTACGACAAACTTCAGTATTACAGACTGCAATATAGTGAATGCAACAACAAATGTAATCAATGAGACTGATAAACCAGACGGCAGCAAGTTTTGTCTGTGTGTGGCAGCGCTGACAAATAATGGCATCATATCAGGAGAAATGGTTCCAATCCCAGCATACACACGTGAGTGTCATGCTCAGTTATTACATTACTTCCCTACCTTATAAGTAAAGGCATTTTATGTATCATGCATATTCATTCTAATTGACCATTTCCATGACTAAGCTGTGAGCTTAACGCATTAGATGAAGCTGAATGTGAGTTGACAGTCAAACAATTTATGGAAGATTGTTTTGGCCACGGAATAAAAAATAGAAAAGGTAAATGCAAGTTCAAATTTCAGACTTTTCCCCCGCAATTGCAAGCTTAGGTCTGAGACTTTATAACTCATAGTTGTGACTTTATATCTCCTAAATCTGACCTTTTTAACACCGTTAGTTTATATCCCACTATTCCGATTGTCTCGCAATTGCAATTTAATAACTCACGCTTCTGAGAAAAAGTCTAAATTGTGAAACATAAATTGCAATTGCATGAAAAGAAGTATGAATTGAGATGAAGAGACAAAAATCCAATTACCCATATAATTTTTGTTCTGTGGCTTCCATAAGCAGCTGAAGGAGTTTTTATGTGTGTTCTCTCAATGACTGCTTAGATTTTGTTAAAGCCTGCATTCAACACTGTTGTAGCATTTCCAAAATGATGACAAACTGCATGCTCTCTCCTGTCCTCTCCTCTCCTCTCCTCTCCTCTTCTCTTCTCTCCTGTCCTCTCCTCCCCTCCCCTCCTCTTAGTCCCAAAAACTGTGAACCTCTCTTTGAAACCCGGCTCCGACAACATGACTGCCAGCTGGGAAACAAATGTGAAGTATGAATATTTCAAAGTGATGATTACAACAGATGCATACCCGTACAATCCCCTGCCACTTAGTATTACAGAGTTGAATTACACTTTCGAGAATCTGAAGGCAGGAGTGAATTACACCGTTTCAGTTTACACAGTCAATGGTGACCTGATTAGTGTTCCTGCTATAGAGTCAAAATACACCAGTGAGTAATTGCTATATTGCAATCAATATTTTTCAGATCATTTGTCCAGTAGCTTAAATTACTGTCTTCATCAGCTTTTCAAGTTCAGCTGTATAACATCTCGCTAATCAATTCACAGAGCCTACTAAGCCTGCTTGGGTAAATGCCATCGCTAGCAAAACAAGCATAGATGTATACTGGGGAGCTCCGGCTGCGTCACAGGGTGCCACGGTTAATTATACGGTGGAATATTACACGGCTTTTTGGAACAAATCTGATAAAATATATACAAATGGTACAAACACCAACTTTACTGGTTTAAATCCAGGAACGAGATATGACATTAATGTCCGTGTCGTGGCAGACGATTTGAGTGAGCCAGCAACTTATCATGCATACACAGGTAAAGACACTACATTTAGTTTGTTCATTAAGCAAACATTTGGCTTTGTTATTTACATCTATTGCATTTCATGATTATGCAATTCTCGCATGTTATGAAAATTAGTTTTTTGAGTATTTTTGCAGACAGATTTCCATCTTTATTTATGTGTTTATTTTCAGTGCCTGAGAAGAGGACACTGGTGCTCACAATGTTGTGTTCCTCTGAAACGGCGCTTCATTGTGACAAAACTGACACTCGGAAAGAACTGTTTGACAAGGTGAGGAAATGTACATTAAGCTTGTTGCAACTTTACAGTAACAGAATTATTACGGAATGAATGCACATGAGAAATAAAGATGGTGATTAAAGAAATACGATTATAAATGTTCAAACAGTTGCTGTAGATGTAGATTGATATCATATGGTATACTGATTACAAAAACTTTGTTTGTTTTTAAATTGAACAATAGTTATTTTTATTTAGACCCTTTTAATCTAAAACAGCTTTATGCAAATAGCTGGAAAAGTTAAATGAAGTAAACTAAAATTTCTGCCTTTCAGCTGAAAAACATAATTTATAACACATTTGAAAACAAGGTCCACTGGAATCTGAGTTGGGCAAAAACAAAGTAGGTTTGTAAAAACAGCTGAATTTCCAGCCAGTCACATTCGTTGTCATTAATATATTTTTTTTACAAATTAGTATGATTCATATTTAACTCTGACTCTGATTTCACAGAGACAACGTCCTTTGAATCCCTATTACGTGGCCTGCTGTAACTAAGGGGAAAAATCACATACTGCAATGCATTGTGAATTCAGATTTTGTTTTCTTACATTTACATTAAAGCATTTATCCTAATCGACTTACAAAAGAGGAACAAAAGCAATTTGTCAACGAACCAACAATATTTGTAATATACAATTCCTGGTTTATTAGACTAGATTAGGAAACAAGCTAGAGAGGAGGAGAAATGCAGAGAAGAAAGACATTTTTGGTAAACCCTGCATTATGGAGACCAAATGTCCTCACAGAGATAGAAAAACCTGACATTTTTGACCTTGTGTGGACAATTTCTGGTCTCCATGAGGAAAACAGCTTATAAATCATAGTTGTTTTTTGAAAATGTAAAAATGCAAAAAGTTTTCTGTGTGGGTTTTGCTTGGGGTGAAGGGATAGAATATACAGTTAATATACAGTTTAAAAATCATTATTTCTATGTAAAGTGCATTGGTTTAAGGGGTTGTTAAGTGCTTGTTTTTAGCTTCTTGAGAGATTTGGTCTTTGATTCTCTCTCATTTTTGGAACTCTATTGTCTTTTTTTTTCTTGCTACAAATTGCTTATTGACATATTTACTAAATAGAGTGGAGTAATGATATTTGTTATAGCTAAGGGAGCTCGATCTTCAAAACTGTAACTTGAATACCTTTTTCATAAAGACATTTGCTATAGCTTCATGTGAGTTCCAATTTTAATTTTTCATGATGGATTACTGCAGATTATTTTGGTGTTTTTTGGGGATTGGTTTCATTATAAATAAAGATATTACGCATGGGTTTGTTCGCTTTATTTCAATACTTTATGCAAGTTCTCAGTTCTTCAGACTAAGAAAAAAAATGGTTCCTTTCAGAGCTGTTGCTTAAAGGTTAAGATCAACCTTAAGAGTATCTAAAAACATTAAAATATATTTGTTTTTTTAAATATACATCGAAAAATATTTTCAAAAATAAACAAAAAATATATTACATATATTTGTCGTTATTTTCCGTCTGATTAACAATAAAAAAAAAACAGTTTTACTAATTATCGTTTTCAATCATTCTGCTTTACAACGGTGGACAAACAAGCTTATTTTAGAGCTTAACACTTTTTATATCATAAAGGTCTTTAGAGGCTCGTTGACATGCAATTTAGAGCATACAATAACATATGTAATTTTTGGTTTTTAATAAATTAGTCATTAAGACTGACTGTCTGGTAATATTAGCAAGCTAGCTAACCAGCGTATAAGCTATAGCTAGTAGGCTAGGTAAAATTAATAGGGAAACTTTAATAGGGTAGGCTACAACATTAGGTTTAAGTATTTGGGTAATTTGCATTAAGACGAAAATGAATTGTTGGATCCTTAAATCCCCAAACAAGGGTCTCATACCAATCAAAATTTTACTCCAGCCAGGAAAGCAAATGTATCAGTCCCAGTTTATTCAAAGAATCAGACCTCCTTCTAGACTTTCTAAACGGCATTGTGTCGGATAATGTGAACAAAACACACATTTCCCTTAGCCTACATGTACAAATGTAGAGTAGTGCAAGCATGAAAGCTCAAACACACAGCTTTCACAGATAAACTGCTCGTAATCAACACTGAACAGAGTTAATGGACTGTTCAGATAGAAAATTAAAAAAAAAAACAGGCTGCTAGTAGCTTACAGTGCATTCTATATGACTTATAAATAGGCGTCCATCACTTCAAAATATATTCAAGAGTCCACGCGTCCACGATATACATATAGTACAATAATCATACGCAAAACCATCCATAGAGCATCAAAATGGACAGTATTCCTTTAACATTTGGGCAACACAGCACAGCAGATGGGCAGCATTAGCAAACTAAACGTGTGATTCGTGAGACGTTCCTTCAGTGCTCCATCAATATGTGCTGATAACTCACTTAACAAATTTAGGTTATAAGAACATTGTTTTGAAACGTTTCTAAACGTTGATATGTCCAGTTTTCTTGTCAGGATTATTTAAAGGTTGCAAAATCGTTTCTTACAACATTCTACTAACTTTGTATACCCAAAAAACAACATAAGCCTATTTGAACATTTATTTTAAATATTCTTAGAATGTTAAAAGTCCAGTTTTCTTGTTGTGATTAGAGCGTTATTTAAAGATTACAAAAACATTTCTTAGATCTTTCAAGTACAAATAGCATAAAAACATTCAAATAATGTTTCTCTGAACATTATGAGAATGTTCCATAATTATTACTTTAAGAACATTTTTTCCTAACATTTATATAACTAAAAAAAAAAAAAACATTATTGAAAGTCGTGAGAATGTTCCCTGTTAACTTTGGCTAACGTTCTGGCAAGCTTCTCTTAAAGTCGAAGTTATCTGGTCTTTTAATAATGTTGTCCAAACATTACCATAAAAACATTTAGACATCATTAAATGTTACTGCTTGTTTTAGAATGTTCAGAGAACATTTAAAAGTATCATTCTCATAATGTGTGCAAAACGATCAAATTGAATGTTCTCTTAACATTTGCATAACCAAGAAAACATTTTCAAATTTTTAAAAATGATATTTGAACACTCAGAGAATATTTTCGTAAATTTATGGGAATGCTAAACTATACATAACAGTATACTGTATGTGAAATGCTGTAGAGACATTTATTATAGCAACTGGGATAAATACATTTGGTTACTCAATATTTAGTCGAAAATTTCAATGGACCATTTCGAGTCAAAATTCACTAAAATATTAGAAAACATCTGCATGGTCCTTGGAACCGGAGAATTATTGCTTTTATTAAGCAGGTGCACATTGGTTTCTAGCAACATTTAACAAATATTACAAGAAACATTTGCAAAAGCATCCTGATATTTTGAAATGTAAGGACTTGAATAAGAATGACTATGTTGCTTACTGTCAAAATCAGTAAAAACAGCATAATAAAATGTCAAATGTCTAGTATTTCCAGAAAAGAACTGTATTAAATGAATTTGCGTGTCTGAATGACAAATAAAAAAATGTTGCAACCACTTTTGGAGCATGTAAACGACTTCTAAAATAATTATGTGTTCTTCCACGCTTTAAACCCACCAAAGTTGACTTCACATACAAAGCACAGCACAAAAAGCAGAAACCAAACAAGATTTTGCAGGGAATGAAATGTTGCGGCATAAGACACACTTCAAAACTAATGGTCAGTGGCACTAAATGTGGACCTATATTACAATAATAGACTCAAACAGGTTTTTTCTGCCAAATCCCTTCTTTAATCAGTCTCCATCACACACATGTGTTTGCACATGCTGCCCAGCAGGAAGAGTATACAGTACATATTCACAAACATATTCACGAACAAGCGCAGTCTTACATTGAAACATTTCCAGTTGTAACGTTTTTTCACTAGTTCAAGTTTGCAGTTGAATTATCGTCGAGTTTTGTTCAGAAACAGGCAAGTTCAAGCTTACAGTAAAGTCGGCATTTGACTCCAGTGTGTTCATGTTAAATCAGGGAGGAACACCTTCGAAGACGACCAAACGTCCCTCTCATATCTGCTGACTGACATTACAACAGCATTCTCAACAGACTCACTGAAGTTTGAGTCTCGGACAGAAACAGTTCTATATCGCTGTCAGTGATGTAACAACATAGCTATTTTATGTGTTTTAAAATAATACAAATCAAGCCCTATTTATATTGCAGACTTGATGTCTAACATCACAGAAAAATCATCTCTGGAGGTCTGAGTGACAATTTGTGGAAGGCATGAGAAAAATAATCATATTTTAAAAAGTTAGGGAAAAAAGTCAAACGTAAGACATAAAAAGGTAAAATTATGAGATAAAGAGTCAAAATCATGATAAAATTAAATATTATGAGTCAAATTATGAGGAAACAAAATCTAAATGTTGACATACTAATGTAGAGTCAAAATAATGAGATAAGTCATTATTATGACAAAAAAACAAAATTATAAGTCTATGACAAAAATTCTAAATTGACATATTAACTCTAAAGTAGTGTTGTCACGGTACCAAAATTTCAGTATTCGGTACCGATAATAACAGAAGCTCTAAATATTAAAAATGTAATTGAAACTTACCTGCTTGAACTTGATCGGGGTGTTTTGTTAGTTTGATGCGTTTCCTCCTCTTGAGGTAGCCACTGCTTTTATGAAGAGGTTGCCAGGTTTTCACAACAAAACCCACCCAATCGCGTTTCGAGGGTGTCTCCTGTTAAAAATCGCGTTCCGGGGATAAAATACACGTTTTGGCGGGATTCCCCCATTCCAGGGGCTAAATATCACGTTAATGGGGTCGTTTTTCAACCCGCGGCAACAGTGTTAAAGCAGCCCAATTCCGCTGGAAAACCGCGGACTTGGCAACACTGGAAGAGGATAGCTGTCGGATAGCGCATCAAGAACCGGGTTGACCGGGTACTCGGTACCACCGGTACTTAAGAAAACCTGGTACCGTAACGTTTTCATTTTTTTAGTACCGACTTGGTACCGAAATACCGGGTCTTTTGACAACACTACTCTAAAGTATGAGATAGTCATACGAATTTACGATATAGTTGAATTATGACATAAACATTCAAAATGATGAAATATTAAGTCTAAATTATGACAAATATGACAGTTATCACAAAGTCAAAATTATGAGACAAAAAGTCATAATTATGACAGTCAAAATTGAGATACAAAGTCATAATTAAGACACATAGCTGAAATTATGAGATAGTCGAACTATGACAAAAATCCTAAATGACATAAATCTAAATTATGAGATAGAAAGTCATAATTATGACAAAAAAAAGGTGAAATTATATCATCAAATTATGACATAATTCCAGATTATGAAATACTAATTCTAAAGTATGACAAAAATAGACATAGCAATGACAAAAAGTCAAAATATGAGATAAAAAGGATAAAAACATTGAAATTGTGAGACATTAAAGACTGTTTATGTTATAATTTTGATGTTATCTCATAATTAGCTCTGTAATAATTTAGACTTTATAATGATTATAATGACCTATTATCTCACAAGTATGTAATTTTTTTGCCATAATTTGACGTCAATTTTG